TATTTTAAATATTTCATTAAGATTTAATTATTGTAATTTTAGTTTTCATACATTAAAATTTAATTACTTGCAATTAAAATCAATTAGATTAATTAAATCTCAATTGTCACTTTGTCAAGAAAATTAGAATAAAAAACCCTACATATTGTTAGGTAGTTTTATAACTAAATAGCATTTCTTTTTACTTGAAAGTTAGCGTGCTTAGCTATTTCAATCCCTTATCTTGACCCTTGAATCAAGTATTTGTAATTAGCCGGTACTAATGCAAATAAGGTCTAAATTTATGTTTAGGTGGATGTGTATAAACTAATAGATCATTGCCTTTTCTAGGTTATGCATCTGATAAAGGATACTAGCAACCAACTGGAAGTTAACCAAATTGTTATAGATTAAGTATTATAACCTTGTTTTTGGGATGAAGGTTATGGGTTTAAATCTGTTTTGATCTTAAAGCAGTCCAATACTCCTATGAACAAGAAAGAGAAGAAAGAACAGATTAATTATTAAAAAAAGAAAAAGAAAAAAAGAAAAAAAGAAAAAGGAACCAGCAAGAGGTTGAAAACTATAAAGCGGAAGCTCCTATCAAAAGATTGTCTCATTTGGTGACTAAAGGCACAGTAGCTCGTTGCAAATCAAGTTCTTTTATCGTTTTGTTGTCAAAAAGAAGTGTAAATTCATGGATGGTGTGCAGTTTTCCATATTGAAATCTGTGGCTTGCAAGAGATAAGAGTTTATCCATGAGCTACCAAATCACATTTTTGGCGCATTTGCCCCCTATTTCAGCAGATTGAATGTATCTGAGGTGTCTAGATACTCAAAATGACTGTCTAGCTATTTACTAGTCTATTCCACATCCATCACTGTGCAGATTTTTTCTTTTTTTTGGATGAATGTGCAGCCTATCATTAGTCTACTCCACATTCATAAACGTCCACGATATCAATTCATAGTTTACTTCTAGCAACCAAACTTTTAATTTAATCTTCTGGAATATCCAAAGTAGTTAAAAAACTTTTTATTAGCATGCTTCCACTGTTTTATATTTTACCAGGTAACCAATTTTTTGGGATTCCATTTTTTTTCATGTTATTATTATTATTTTTGAATTTCTGTCAATTGTATGCTCTGATTTTTTGTTTGATAAAAAAAGTAACTGAGGATTTTTATATCCTTTTGTAGGGTGCAGCAGGAGTCAGTTGATGATGCTGAATGTAATCGCTTTCTTGTTAACTAAGTAGATTATGCTTTTGATGACTTTGGGGGTCGTCAACCACCTGCTTATCCTGGGTTGTCTACTGTGTGGGGTAGCTTGGCCCGTAGTAAGGTATATCTAGCTTTCCCGATACAGCCTTCTATTAATGGTGTTGATTTCTGTCTGCTTTCCTGCTTTGGTATTCTTTCTCAGTAAAATTCAGTAATGTTGTGACTTTGTTCTTTTATTGTAATTTTAAAAGTTGTAGGCATCTTTCTTGCTTTTTTTTTTTTTTTTTCATGATATATATAAATGTTTTGATCAATGCAACCCCTTCGAACATATTTCATCAGGTGAGATGAGCTACACTACAGCACCAGAAATAGATGGCATAATAAAACATTAAGATAACAATCCTCTTCTAGTGTGAGTTCATTCCATATTTAGTGTAGGCCATTGGAATTATATTATTAACTGAATCAAATTAATGTCTGCCATCTATATTATTCATTGATATGGAACATATAGATTCAGAATACATTATGCATATGAACAAAGGAAAGAGTCTAACAATTAAATTAAGAACACATATAAATAGAGAAAAAGGTCAGTTATTTATAATTTAAATCAGAATACACATTCCTAACTTATTCTCTTTTT